GTGAGCCCTCTAGATGCCCAGGAATGTGACCCTGGGCATGGCACACCAAGCCAGTGTCCCCAGCAGGGCCTATCTCTGGAGTCAGACTAGCCAGGCTCAAATCCAAGACCGCTGCTAGCTGGTGGCTTCAGTCAAGATAATCTCTCTGAGCCTCAGTTTGCTCAGCTCTAAAATATGCATAATAGCTGTTCCTAGTCTGCCGGGTTTTTTTGAGTAGGTGAGGTGATGTATATACATTGTTTGGTGCACAGTAGGTGCTTCTTCGGTGGTAGCCATTGTTACCATGATCTCTTCAGCCTCATCCCCCAGCCCTTCCCTCCACAAACCTACTCTCCCGTTGCCCTGGAGGTGCTCCCTTTCCCCTGCTTCCCTACTTCCCAGCATGGCACATGCCAGTCTTGCCAACCTCCTCCCTCACAAACTCCCACCTAGACCTTAAGACGCAGCTTTGGTGTGCACTCCTCCGACCCATGCAAACAGGGCGGTCCTCTGTGTCCTCTGTGCCTGTGAGAGGCTCCGTCACACTGCTGTGTCTATGTGCCAACATGTCTGGCTCTCCCGGAGACTGTGAGAGACCCTGTTTCCCATCTCATCTGCACTACCAGTGCCTGGCACTCGGAAACATTTGTTGAATGTCTGGGGTGTGAGTGCAGGTGGTCACTTGAGGTGGGCCTCTGGACTTGCTGTCCTCATGTGTCTGGTCTCTGCCTCCTTCACCCGGTTTGCAGACCTGGACTTGGCGGTGCCAGAGACCGTCAGACTGGACAGCAGTTTACACAAAGCCCGGGCCCAACTGCTGGCCAAGGGCCGGAGACACCGGCCCTCCCGCTCAAGGCTTCGGGACAGTGCCAGCTCTGCAGAGGATGGTGAAAGCTCCGATGGGCCCGGAGGCAAGGTTGGGGCAGCCCACCCAATCACACCTACCCCACCCACCCTTTTTGCCCCTCCAAACCGCTCTTCCAAGGAAACCACACCCCAGGCTTATGACATAATAATGCTCACAAACATTAGCTGCATTTATTTCTGGCTCACTTCATCCTTTCAAGGAAGGGATTATCATCCCCATTTTACAAATGAGGAAATGGAGGCTCTGAGAGGTTCGGTAACAAAGTCACACAGTTAGTTAGTGAAAGAGGCCGGATTCAAGCCCAGCCTATGTGACTGAAAGCCTCTGTCTCCTACCTCTCACTGTCCAGCCACCCCTCTGCTCGGGGTTTGAAGGACCCAGGAGTCCGGCCACCCCCTTGGAGGCTCCTGCACAGTTACAGGGTGAAACCGGCTCCCAGCCCCTCGGGGAAGCAAGGAGAAGGGTTGGCGGTGAGCGGCTGCCCCCTCCCGCAGGTGACCGACGGCTGCGGGAGCCCCCTACACCGGCTGCGCTCTCCTTTGCACTCGGGCCCAGGGTCCCCGGCCGGGGGCTCGTTCTGCCTGGATCCTCCGGGGTTGCGGCGCAGCCTGGACGAGGACGAGCCGCCGCCATCGCCGCTCACCCGCTACCGGCCCCTGCATAACGCCGCCTCTCACGAGGGCCTGGCCGCCGCCTCCTGCTCGCCGCCGCGCTCCGCGCCTTCCTCAGACAGCTCGCCCAGCTTCGTGCGCCGCCACCCGCGCGCAGAGCCGCACAGCGAAGGTGAGCAGGGCGGGCGCGCCGCCCCCTGCTGGTGCGCGCGGGGAGCGCAGCGTCCCCTCCGCTCCCTTGGCACCGAAGCGCAGGGCTGGACAAAGTGGGACAAGGGTGGTTTGCGGGGGACGCGGAAGTTAACACCGCTCTTCATTCATACATCTACTGAGCGCCTATGATGTGCACTAGGACACACAAACGAGCAAACAGATGCCGTTCTCGTCGTCCTGGGGCTTGTAGTTTTGGGGAGAAACAATGAAATAATTTCTTAGTCTAGCCTCCCTGGCGGTCTGATTATGTCAGTAATTTTGTACCCAAAGGGGTACGTTGTTTTGCATGGAAATTTGTTGTTTTATATTGTAGGCCTGTAATTCTTAGGAGTTACTCACTTAAATCTGTCCAAACAAGAGTCTAGTAGGCATCCCAGGTATGATAAAGTTTGAAACACAAAATCATAAATTATAATATAATAATAATTAT